TCCTTGCCTCAGTTCTCGCAAAGTATCGCCTCATTTGTACCTAACCCCGGTTCATCGGGTGCACTTTTTCAGTCCTTGCCTTCAGTATGCCACTCCCAAGGGGTGTGTGTGTGTGTTGGGGTGCGGGAGGGGGGCTGGTATCCTTCCATTCATCCCCAAACACCTTAGGGGTTGCTGGGAAGGAGTGAGGCCTCTACCTCTTTTATGTATCTAGGTCTGATTGTGCTCTTGAACCTGTTCTCTGCAAAGCCTCCATAGAATCTTTCTCATGATAGCCCCAGCCAGGCCTTTCTCCACCATCTCCCTTCTTCATTTCTAAGTTTCAGGGTTGAGTTTCCTCTCCCCATCTTTACAAACCCGGGCAGGTTGGGTTGCTTGTGTGATGCTATCAGAGACAGTCTTATCTGGCTACAAAGTGTGAATCAGAGATTACACCACACAGGGCTGGTGCCAGCTAGGCGGGCTGCCATATTGCCAAGTAACCCAGTGGTTGAACCAGGTTGGGTTGAGTAATATGCACCAATAGGAAGTGAGTTTATTAATCATGCAGCATAGTACACTGTTGACGAAAGTGTAACTCCGAAGGCCTGGTTTGATTGGAGAAGGTGCAGGTGGGGCTGGATGCTAACTAAGAAGACACCCAGTGACGCTATCTTCCTCCGAAAACATTCACTTGAGAAACACAGAGAAATCGGGAAGGAACCATCTAGTTTAGCAAAGAGATGGACTACATATGTTCAATCATTAGGGGTTTTTTTTTGCCATCTTGGGTTCCTTTTGTTAAAAAAAAATGGTTGCTTCCTTGTGGCTGCACGTAAAGTTGTAGTTTGGAACTGTTCAAGTTTCATGAGGTGAGAGAAGGGAATTCAAGATGGCAGCCAGTGACCTAGAATTGCGTGGGTGAGAAGCTTTAAGATTCCATACTGCATTCTCTTTATTGATCTCTCACTTCAAAAACATTCTTTTCTAAAGCCACAGCCCACCTCCTCCACCCAAGTCTGCCCTCAACTTCTTGGTAACTACAGCCAACCAGAAATACCACCCACATTTTTCACTGTGATGGGCCTGCACGGGGGCAGCGAGAACAGTTTCTAAGCAGGAAGGCCGTACATTTCTGTCATTGTGTGGCTGGCCTGGCTGGGATCTCGGGCACTGAGACGCGGTCTCCCAGTCACATGCGGTGCTGCACTTACGTAGCTCAGTGTCATACACCAAGCCCCGAAACTTTGCTGAGGCAGCTACTGTGTGGAAATGCATGGGAGAGAAGCCAGGGGGATGTTTTAGAGGGGAGGCTGGGAGAAAGGGAGAGGGACAGAGCTCTCTTGTCCAAAGCCAGCTCTGGGACAAGCGTCATAGGGGTAAAGGATTGCAAAGACTATGGGAACTCAGATGAGGGGGTAGGATGGAAACGTGGGCACAGGAAGGACATGGAAGACCCAGATGTCTTCAAGAGGAAGCTCTACGGCTAGCAAGGAAACTCGGTTAAGAACAGGGAAGGTTCTGGGGAAGAAAGCTCAAAGAGGAGAAGCATCACTTTCACGAGAGACGGAAGTTGCAAGATGTGAGGGGTTAATGCAGTAAAAACATTCCTTGTATGTTCTCCAAACCCAAATGTTCTTTCTTTTCTCAAAGCACCGTATCCCTGGGTAGTTCATGAGAACGTGCTTTCAGCCAGGACCACCTTTCCCAGGCAGTTACAAACAGTGAGGCCTGGAGAGTCTTGTCCAAGTAGGATTGAAGTTACAGACCTTTAAAACCTGACTTCCCCCAATTATCTGACCACAAAAGAGCTCCCAATCTCTCTGGTTATCTTGCCAACCCTGAAGAATCCCTCTCAAGTCTCCACCTGTTTTTCAAGCTTCAAAAGCCTTAGCAAGACCCCCCTCACAGAGGCTGGGGAGCTCCTCTGGGGTCCCGTTCTGCTGCTCCCTGTGACCGTCAGAGAGTAGTTCCTAATTCAGGAGACCTCCTCTTTACCCTCAAATACCCATTGGAAACCACAGAGAAGGGTTCTAGAAGGTTCCAGCCACTAGCCCCATGAGTTTATCTAGTCTGTTCACATAATCTTTCCAGGAGTTTGAAGCTCCCAGGAGGGCGGAGGAGAGTTCTGTTCTCTTGGAACCACAGTGAACACTCAACACTGGCAACGCCGGAGCCACACAAAATTCTGACCAACTCCCAGTAACACCAGATCCCACACTTCCACACAGTATTCAGAGCAGGAACTGCAAAAGCAGGCATAAGTATCTACCAAACCAACTGCCAGCCAAAAACAAAACGAGACAAAGAACAGGCCAAACCAAAACTTTTATGCTATGAAAACAAGAAATAAAATAAGGAGATTTATAGGCCGGCTGATTGTCAGCAAACACAATATATTTACTGTATTAGCATTTGCTCACAGTGCAAATGGTACAACATTACACCATTTCAATATTTCGGTTTTTAAAAATGCTGTTTTCATGAACTATATTATATTGGCATAACAATGTGACAAAGGAGCAGATGAAATGTTGGTGAAGAATTTCACCTTTTCACAATATCAAGCATATTTTTTTAACCTTAGTATAAGGTACTATAAATCCAAGAAATAAAAACATCCACAAAATATATTACATCTGGTTTGTCTTTTTCTAAGTACTCAACTTTATACAAAAGTCTTTCAAAAAATATCATTCCCCATAGGTTTTCCTGTTTAAAACCTGATTTTTTTCTCTCAGTTCACATAAGTTAGAGTGCATTTTCTTTTGTTGTTTTTTTTTTTAAACATGCAGACATATAAAAAAATCTGGATAGCACAACCTTTTGGCAACAAAGTTATTTTTCTCTTAGTTTAGCTTAAATGTCTGAGAACAGTTTTATTAAAACAAAGGAAAACTCAGAGTTATCATGCAGTGACATGCACAAGCCAGAAGGAGCAAGGAAAAAATATTAAAGGATATCTGGTTCCTCCTTCCAGCTTTGAAGTGACCAAAATTTTTGTTTTTAATAATCATCACATTATAAAAAGTATTCAGCAAAATACTGTCTCTGCAAAGAAAGATTTTACCCCTCAGCTGAAAAAATATGAGCCCTCCTAGCAAACTTTGTCCTCCTCTCTCTCCTCCTACAAAAAGTCCAAGTACCTGGAAATCCACAATCCCCTGCTCTTTGATTTTTCCCTCTTTCACTAGACTCCTTTTAGTATTATTTATCTACCACCAAAAAAAAAAAAAAAAAAAAAAAAAAAAACAACCCAAACAAACAGTGCTTTTTTTTCTTTAAAAAAAAAAAAAAGGTGGGTAACGCATAAAGTGACTTTAAAAACAGACATTCTGTAAACTCCAGACCTTTGTTCCTCCTCTCTGGGCAGCTTACTGACCACAGGAGAAATAATGCGGCTAGGGAACAGTACATTCAGTCAGGACTGTGCTGGAAGCTGTGTCAGAGAGCAACCTTCCCTACTACTCCACTTCAAAAGACTCGCCCCTGGGTGGGGAAGGGCTCCGGGAGGGGGTGCCTGAGAGGAGGTGAGGTAGGGCGGGGAGAAGGTGAGACCGGGGCATGGAAAAGATACACCTCATTAATCGACATGGATGAATGCAAAAATCCCCACATCTCATGAGGAAAATTTGGACAGAGATGAGTATGTATGTATATGTATGTATATATACATACACAGATATATGTGTGTGTATATATACTTGCATACATACACACATATATAGATAAAATCTCATCAGCTAAATTTTTCATAAAAAATAAACGATTTTATTCCAGTGCACTGCACCAGATAGCCAAGTACCTTAGGAATTTTATTTTGCTAGGAATACATAGCGTGTGTGTTATATATATGTATATGTATGTGGTGTGTGTGTGTGTACACACACACACACCACATACATAGATTTGAAGTCTACCTGTTGGTGACCAAGGGCAAAAAAAGAGCCTGCTTCCCCGCCAAAGGGGGGAAGGAGGAATGGGTACGTGAGTGGGAGAAAACAAGAAGGTGGTGAAATGCGGTGGCCGGTCGAGGCCTGCCTTTCTGGGAAAAGGTTTCGAACGAGGTGGGAGAAGGGAGAAGGGGGGAAGCGAGGGCGGAGGGCCAACCCAGAACGTAAATTTTTAAAAGTGGGGCTGAGGAAATACAGTTTTAAAAAGGCAGGTTCAGGGACAGCTGCTTCTCCCCGCAAATCAAATTGCTCTGAGGCCTAACAGGGAAGTGCTCGGAAAAGGTGAGGTTCCGAGGGACCGGACCCTAAGCGGCAGTAGCGGCACCGCAGCGGTGGCATCCGAGGCATTTCTGTAAGAAACATTATTTCCGAGTAGATGGAAGACCCGTCTCATCTGGCCACGTGCAGGCCCCCAGCCTGGGACAGTCCCCAGCGGCCTGGGGACCCGATGTGGGGAAGAGTTTGGGGTGGACACAGCCCAGTTCAGCTCAAGAGTCTGACACACAGGCGTGCGCGCGCGCGCGCGCACACACACACACGCACATACACTCACGCGAGCACGCACACTCGCGCGCATCCCCGCACGCAGGCGCGCGTGCGTGCGGCAGGCAGCAAGCTCTGCGCTTTGGAGCGCTGCTTACCCTCTCCCCCGTCCCGGGTCTTCCTTCGAGGGAGAACCGAGGGAGACGTGGGGGGACCCGTGAGGTGCTTAGGTCAGGCGAGGCTTGGGCGGGCCCCGCCTTCAGTCCCCCGCAGGTCCTTGGCGCGGCCCAGAGGCCCCTGGATCAAGACGATCCGAACTGAACAAAGCGGGCTAGACGCCACCTTTCCACCTCCCACGCCTTGGCTAAAGGGGTGGGGGGACAAGGCGCCTCCTGCCCTGGCCCCCGACTGTTGGCCGGTGTGAAAGGGTGGAAACGGGGGACTTCGAAGGGGGACAAGGGACCTTACGTCCATGGAGAGGCCAGGGTGCCACCCCTGCGCCGCCGTGGCTGGCTTTCCCGCTGCTTTCAGGCTAGCAGCAGGGAGACACTGGAGGGGAAAAGTGGGAATCGGGGGGCCCGAGCCTCAGGCACAGGTGGTGACCACAGGGGCCAGGGACACTGGGGGCGCTGAGGACGCAGAAGGCGCACCCCCCTTCTCCGCCTTTTTCTCCTTTTGCTTGAGGTGGATCTTGGCATGGCGCTTGCGCTCGTCGCTGCGCGCAAACTTGCGCCCGCAGAACTCGCAGGCAAAGGGCTTCTCGCCCGTATGCGTGCGGATGTGAGTGGTAAGGTGGTCGCTGCGGCTGAAGCTCCGCATGCAGATCCGGCACTGAAAGGGCTTGTGGCCAGTGTGGATGCGCAGGTGCCGAGTCAGCTCGTCCGAGCGGCTGAAACGGCGATCGCAGCCCTCCGCTGGGCACGCGTGGGGCCTCTCGTGGAGCGGGGTCTTGCTGGGTCGGTTGGGGTACTTGCGTGGCCGGATGGGCTTGAGCGTGAGCGGTGGCTGAGGCAGGCTGCTGAAGCCTGGGTGGATTTGCTTGTCTTTGAATGCCTTGATGGTCTCCAGGGGGGTAATGGGGGGCGGGTTGACTCGGATGGGGTCCATGCCCTGGAAGGGCTTGTGCTCCGGAATAGAACCCATGTCGTTGGGGTGGTGGTATATGTTGTAGTCAGGAATCATGGGGAAGAGATTGCTGTCCAAGGCCGGCTTGGCCGATTGATAATCCTGGGGGGAATAGGCGAGCCCGGGGTTGCCCTGGGGGTCGTGGAAAGACACAGGCTCCGAATAGAGATCACTGCAGTTAGAATAGGGGGGCAGCGCCGGATACATGGCCTCCACGTCACTCTGTGGTGGCTGCACCATGCTGGCCGTGGAGGTCTGCGTGCTGAGTGCCCCTGAGGCCGGGGGCACCCCCAAGATGCCGGCGCTCATGAGGCTAATGATGTTGTCCTGGCACCAGTTGGAAGGGGAGTCGAAGGCGAACTTTCCCAAGTAGGTCACGGTCTTGTTGCCGGGGGCTGGCTGGAAGGAGCCGGAATAAGAGAGTTCCGGGTTGGGCTTCTCGTTGGTCAGACCGATGTCCATCACATTCTCTGCGGAGAGCAGGGGAGAGAAGGGAGGGATGAGTGAAGCCAAGCCGGCTCCAAGGCTGGGGCGCCCAGGTCCTTGCCCAGGTGTGGAGGGTGCGGCCGGGTGGAGTGCGCAGCGCTTGGGGTAAAAGGAAAGCTGCGCTCGGCGCAAAGCGGGCGGTGCCGCGCTCCCGGGCGCAACCTGGATACAGCAAAATACTACGGATCGGGGTGTGGAGTGGCTGCTGCACACACACCACACACGCCGCGCACACACACTCACGTACCACACACGCGCGCGCGCGCGCGCGCGCGAGAAGCATTGTTGTTTCCGAGGTGGGGCGGGCAGGTAGCTGCAGCTACAGGTAGTTTCAGACCCGGAGCGCGCCGGGCTCTCGCTCTCTAGTGCACACAACTCGGCCTCTTCCCCCTAGCCCTGTCCGCGCCGGGACGCCGCGCCTTTCCTGCCCCGACGAAGCCCTCCCTGCGCATTGCGCCGGGGGCGATGACCCCGAGAGCTCTGACGCTTTGTCCTCGGCGCGTAGAGGGGTGCTGCCCGAGAAGGGAGCTCGCCCGCCACCTCCCCCCGGCCCAGCCTCCTGCGGGCCTGAGGAAGCTTTCGGCTCTTGCTGGAGGGAGAAAGCCCAGCCCCTAGCGAGGGTGGAGGGCGGCGGAAAGCCGGCTCGCGTCTCCACGGCGGGAGTGGCCGCTCTTCCCAAGCTCCTCGGCCCGGGGATCGCCCCCCTGGGCAGCCTCTGAGCGGGGTGAACCCCCTCCCTCTCCCCGCCGTCCCCACACCCCCACGGGTTTGCTGAACGCCCCGGAAAGGTAGCGTCGCAGTACCTCTCCCACCGCGGGGACTCCACGCCGCACACGGCTCCATCCCGGGTGGGGGGCTGAGGGAGTAAGGGGGAGAGCGCGGGTGAAAGGGACGCTCGGCTCCTCCCGGGAAAGGGGGCGACGGCACCACGCCTTGCGCGCAGCCTGGCGATCGCGCCCCCTGAGTGGAGAACCCCGGAGCAGAGCTGCTCGCACCTACCTCCCTCCGGTCGGCGGCTGCCCCCACCCGGGAGAACAGAAGCCTCTACCGTGGCGTCGCCAACCGAGCCTTCCCGATAGGGGAGGGCGGGAGGAGTGGGTGGGAAAAGCAACTCGCCCCCCGGAAAATTCCCAGCGCGCCCCCATCTTATCCATCCATCCATCCATCCATCCATCCATCCATCCATCCATCCATCCATCGCTAGCTGGTTCCCTCCTCCTCTCCCTCTCCCTTTCCTTCCTCGCTGCCTCGCCGCCTCCCCGCCGCCCTTACCTGTAGCCATCGGATTGTAATGGGCTACCGAGTCGCTGCTGCCGGAGAAGAGGTTGAGCGCGCTGGGGATCTCCTCGGGGTACAGATTGTCAGGCAGTTGGTTTAGCAAACTGCTCATGGTCACCGGCAGCTTCTCGGCGAGTTTGCCGGTCATAGCACTCCCGAGCTGCCGCCACCGCCGCCGCCGCCACCGCCGCCGCTCGCTCCTAACGCAGCTTCCAGGCCAGCGGCATCCGAGAGGCGATCCGTGGTGCAGGGGAAAAGCATGCGAGAGGGAAAGTTCGGGGGGAGGAGGGAGGGAAGAGGGGAAGGGGTGGGCCAGAGGAGGGGATCTTCTCTTTTTGGGGGGTGGGTGGGAGAGAGGGCAAAGGGGAGTAATCTTCTTGGGTGCCTGGCTGGTGCCGTAGGAGGCTGGGTCTTGAGGGGGGGGCGTGTGCGGGGGGTGGGCTGGGGGCTAGGTGGGGGGGTCTTGGCGGAGGGGGTCCGACGCGGTCTCAGTATTGATCTTACAAACAGACGCGCGCCGGCGGCCCCCCCACCCCCCGATCCGCCACCGCCACCGCCGCCACTGCCGCCACTGCCGCCACTGCCGCCGCCGCCGCCTCTGCCGCTGCTGCCGCTGCTGCTACCTCCACCACCAGCCCCGCTGCTTCCTAGCAAGCTCACTGCTGCCCAAAAGCTCCCAGCCAGGGAACTCCACCAGCCTATTTATCTGAGCCCCGGGAAAGCTCCGTGACGTAGCTGCCCATATATGGACAGACAAAGCCCAGCCGAAGGGGCGCGACGTCACAATGGAAGCTCCTCACAATGGAACATTAGAAAGCAGGAAGCGGGCCGCAGCCAGCGAGCAGAGTCCGCACCGCTCGCGGATCTCGAAAAAAGAGGGAGAAGGAGAGAAATAGATGGGAAGAAAGGACAATTCAAGAGGAAAGAGGAAAGAGGATGCAACTGAACGCAAAGCGTAAAGCGCGCAGCGCGGGTTTGAAAAAGCCCTAACCGTGTGTGTTTATTTTGGGTCTGTGCTAGGAGAACGCGCTGGGACAGCGTGGGGGCCGGGCGGGGGGCGAGAGTGTGGTGGGTTGTTTGCTGGTGGCCTCCAACACCCCTAGCAGGAAGAAAGAGACTTGAAAGTGCCGGGCGATGTCCCTTTGCAGCCTGGGAGCTTCTGGGGAACCCGGAAGGCGTGTGCTCGGACCCTGCTCCTGCCGCTCTTCTCGCGTCCAGGACCCTGCCTAAGACTAGAAGACCGGGAGCGCGTCCCTTCGAGGAGGGTTCCAGCGCGCAGGGATGCCTGGTCCCGTATCCCGAGAACTTTTGTACCTCCCTCTCTCTGATTAGCCGCCCACGCCCCTGCCTCTGCTAGCGTCCCTGACCCTGCGCTCACTCCCGGCTGAGTAGTTGCAAAGAGGTTGCGCGGGAGGCGAGAGCCCCGCACTTTGGGGCGGTGGAGGGGGGGGGGGCGGTCCGAGGATGTGCGGTTTTGGTGGCGAAGAAGAAAAAATGAAGTTGAGCGGATAGGAGACACGTGCACCAAATCCTTGATAAATTCTCTAACGTTTCCTAAGCACCCCCTTTGGCCACGGGATGGCAGGAGGGCCTAGCAGGCCCAGGCGCAGCCGCTGTCTGTTGCTGCCTGGGAAGGGCCCGCCACCGAGTCGCTGCAGGATCACGCCGAATTCACAGTCTGACACCAAGGCAGCCTCCCGGCAGCCTCCCTTGGTCGCCACCCTTCCCGTCGCCTTCTACAGGGCTGTCCCTGGCGCCCTGCAGTCAAGGGCTGCCTGTTTGCCGACCAGGAGCGCTGTCACCTCCCATAGCGGCAGCAGATTCCGGGGGCGGCTGATATGTTCCCCGAGGCCTGCGCCCGGGGCGCGCGCGGCCAGGCCCAAGAGAAGCGGAGGAGAGGAAGGGAGCGTAGGGGAGCGACCCCGAATCACACCGGCTTGGCGTGGGAGGATTCCCTCCTCGGTGGTCGCGTGGGTGCGGTGAATCCCGCATCCCCCGCTGGGGAGTCAGGTTGGGGGGAACATGCATTTCTCGGGGGGAGTGGGAGTGTTGACAAGGAGCAAGAGAGGATCCCCGGGCCTCGCGCCGTGGGAGGGCCACGCGGGCCGGGGACGCGTGGGAGGAACTCCCGAGCTGCACATAGCGGTGGGGGTGGATGACAACCTCGCTCTCCTCCTCTCCATTTCACTCGGTGGAGAATTGGGAGTGGGAGGGGCCGGTCTCCCCCGGTCTTCTCCGGTTCTTAGGAAAGGAGGGATTCCCGCCGCCCGCGAGCCCCTTCTCCCCCGCCCCTGCCGCCACTCCCGCCAGGCTCCCCATTCCTAAACCCGGGAGGCACTGCGTCCCCGGGCTCTCCTCCGCCCGCGCGGCGCGGGGGGCGAGCGCTCTGCAGCGGTCCCGGCTCCGGCCGGAATCAGGGCGTGCAGCGCCTCCCGCCCCCGGCACCCTCCCTGGTGGGGGCGGGCGGGCGGCCGGCTCTGGGACGTGGGCGTCAGTGTGAGCCGGGCTGGGCGCGGGAGGGGCTCTGGCGGCTGCTAGGAGGGTCGCCGGGCGGCGGGCCAAGCCGGGAAGAGCCATACAAGGAGCGAATCCGGTGACGCGCCGGCCGCGCCCCTTCTCCTTCTCGATTTGGCTGCAGATTCCGGTCCCCGGATTTGCATATTTTGGCAACCAGTGGAAAAGGAAAGAAGAACGGAACCCGCAGCCTTTAAAGGAACCGCACAGGCTGTAGCGTCACCTAGGGAGGCGGTCTGGGGGGCGGGAAATATTAGCCACCCCCTCCGGCCTCTGGCCGGAGACCTGGCGGTAGGGGCGGGGCCGGGAGCGGCGCTGACCAGCGAGCTTCGGCCACTCAGGTCCCAGTCCTGGTTCCTCTGCGGCGCCTCCGGCTGCGCGTGCACCCGCAGGTGGCGGGGGTCTCCGAGGGTTCCCGCGGCCCTGGAGGCTCTGTGAGGTCCGCGGCCTTGGGCGAACCGCAGGCCCCAGTATTGACTGCAGTGCCCATGTTTCCCCGCGAGAGGCACAACTCAGCTTCTGGGGGTGACGGGAAGGAAGGAAGAGACCTCCAGGCGGCACGGCCCAACTCTGGCGGACTCTGCCGTGATGCACCTCCTCCCCACCTGTTGAGGCCTCTCTCCAGGAGAGGAAAGTGGGGAGCTAGAACCCCCAGTTCTGTTCGATAGAGACCTCTGTTAGGAAAGACAGAGGCAGTGGGAACATTTGGGATCCTTGAGGGTTTCCTTGGCCCCAAAGAAGGTGGAGGAGTGTAACTTCTCTAGAGATGGCCCTCCGACGCTTTTAGACTAGCCAGACTCATTACACCCAAGGAGAAGTGCAAGGAGGGCTTGTGGGCTTTCTCCACAGCCTGCTTACAGGTTGGTGAACTGGATAAGAGTTTTTTCAGGGGCCGGACAAAGGTCTTCCCCCTCCTTCCAACTAGTTCTTGACATAGAACAAGAGTCTTCAATTAATTAAATAAGTAGTCATTGAAACTGCAGTGTGATCTTGGACAAAGTTCTTTCTTAGCCTCAGTTTTCTTGTCTGTAAATTGGGATAATAGTAGTGCCTTAGAATTAATTTAGATAATCTTCACAGAACACTTATGCTAGATCCCTAGCAAGCACTCTCTAAATGGCAATTATTACTGTTCAATTGTATTCTCGCCCGCCCCACCATGTGATAGAGAAGCCTTTTCTGCTTGCATCTTAAGAAAGAGTGTAAGTGACATCGGGAGTGAAAAGGGCCAGGCATGGACCTCCATTCCCTATCAGTGTGATCCTATAGCAGAAGTATTAACGTTTATTATTCAGGGAAAAAGGAAAGTCCTATTTGTGTGCAAGGTACCTGCTGGGCACTGCACAAACATCACGATGGCTCAGAAATGGTCTTCAGTCGGCAGGAGCCTAGGCCAGGACTGAACCCCCAAGAGCTGGGGGTGAAATAAGGCAGGGTACAAAGAAGTCACTCGGCAGCTCTTTGACACTCTGCAGCAGCGTCCTAGGCATTTTTGGAGGGTGGCCGTGGCTTTCGTGGGGGACGGGGGGTTCTGGTGCCCTTCCTTCCCTCCTCTACCACAGAATGAGTCATGTTGGGAGAAGCCTGCTTGTGCCAGCACAGGCCCCCACTGCCTGGCTCCTGTTCAGGCAGCAGCCCACACAGGTGTCCCCTGTCACCCTGATGATGGTGGCAGACGGAGGCCAGGGTTCTGTGGCAGGAGGGGACAACCCTGGGTATGGCGTGGGGGTGGGGTGTTTGGAGTGGTTGCTTGTAGACTACTAGCAGTCTCCCTTATGGCCGCCAAGCCTTGAATGCAGCAAAGAAAAAAAGTTTCTCTTCTTCCCTTCCTCCTCCTCTTCTCCGTCCCCCCTCCTGAACAGGGGTTGGGGATGATTGTCTGTTTTATTGGCGGGCTCAGGTGAGATTGCCAAGGGCCTAATTACCTGAACTCTAAGCCCTGGACTTGTTGGGGAGCGAGTAGGCACTGGTTCAGGGCGTCCTCACCCAGGAGATGGTGAAAGGCAGGCCCGATCCTCTGCAGCCGGGCCAAGGCCGCCCAGCCCCTGGCTGCTCCCTCGACTCGGCTAGCCTCTCCAGCTGCATTTGCGGCTCGGCGGCTGCTTGTGGAGGCAGGGGCGCGCTGGCCTTTGTGAAAGGATAAATGAAGGAGGAGATGCTAGGATAGCATCCACCGAAAACAAGGGCCGGTTCCTGCTTGGTCTTGCTTCTTAGTTCTGCAGTCAGCCCTGCCCTCTGAACTTTAGCTTCCCTTTTTTGCTAAAGATGTCCAGGCTTTCTCTACTGCCTTAAAAGAAAGAACCTCCCCCCGCCCCCCCTCCCCGCAATTAATTCAGGGGTATTAGTGAGTTAACACGTTGCTCTTCTCAGAAGGTATTTGCATTTCAAAAGAAAAAGCTTAGAGAGGGTAATATATAACCCAAAGGAATTAAGCCCAATGCCTGGAAAATGGTAGGTGCTCATAAATGCTGGTGGAATGAGGCCTCATTGCAGGATATCAGGCCCAGTGACGAAGAGTTGTTGATTTGAGCACAGAAAGAGTCTGAGGGTCAGATCACACCAGGCCCTATGTATAGGGCCCACCCTGGTGGGATTACTCCCGAATGACAGTTCTCTCAGTGGTCTTCAGTTACT